TGGCAAATCGGTCGGTCAGGTCGGGTTCGGTCACTTCAAGTTTGGGTTATTTCGGGTTCGGGTCAATTCGGGTTCGGGTTGAGAACTGTATGTTCATGACCCAGTGTCATCGGGTTCGGGTCGACCCAATGGGTTATGACTTTGGTTTTTTAAATTTTGAAAATCACATTAACGCTTACATTTTCTATTAAATAAATTTAAAATATCAAAAAAAAGTATTAAATCTATAAAATTATTTTATTTTAAACTCTAAAGTAGTTTTTAGATATATAAATCAATATAAGGAATTTAAAAATGCTTAAGTTTTGGAAAAAAGTAAGATAATTATGCAATATCATTAAAATTTTGTCTGAAAATATAAATTTATACACTAAAAACGAGTAAAAAAGTGTATAATTTTGAAAAATTCTTACTCTAGCGGGTCGGTCAGGTCGGGTTCGGGTTCGGTCGGGTTTGACCCATTTTTAGCGGGTCATTTCGGGTTCGGTCAACTTCGGGTTCGGTCATCAAAACCTTTGTTCAAAACCCAGTGTTTTCAGGTCGGGTTTCGGGTCAAAAATAGGTCGGGTCCTTTTTTGCCAGGTCTAAGACTGTCCATGAGGTGCCCATCAGCGCAGAGGTATAATGCCACTATTTGGCCCTTCATTAGGGTTGACAGAGGGGAAGGATCTGCCATTGTTGCACCACGAATCTTGGCTAGAAGAACATCCTCTGGACTGTGATCGAAAAGTTCAGCTTGAAAAGTTCAGATGATTGTTACGCAGTCAACCTCTGTCTCGACATCATCAGTAACTTGTTCATATACCTCTTGGCTTAGAACATCATCGAAAAGATTGTCCGTATTATCCAGGGACCTGTTCGCATGCCTTGACAGAATACGACCATCTCAGCTTTCCACACGTGTTGTGCCTTGTGTTTTGATGATGACAAATTATTATGGGACTAGATCAGAAATTGGTGTCGAAGTCCCCAGTTAACAAATCTGCAACACAATTTAATGAAGTCAACATTATCTTCAATACAAATAATGCAATTCAAAATTGAAAACCTATGTGTAAATGTCATAGCACTAATCTAGTCATGCGTGTAATACTCCAACCGCCACAAGAATTGGTTGTCCTGAATGGGTAATGAAAGGTGTAATGAATGGTGTAGGGGAAATATCAATAATGAAGAGAATGGTGTAACAACAATAAGTACTGGTAACCGGACGCTACCTCTTACCCAAGCTTGTAGAGGAAGGCATACCACTAGACTATCAAAATCTCCCTGTCAATCAACAACAAAGTGAAAAGTGTAGGGATTCCATTGATGCAAGTCAAAAAAGCAGATAATTAATAATGGACTGAAGTCCAAATGCTGGCTGCTGCAAGATGCAATTCCTCAAACTAAACCATCGGAATTCCTTCCTACTCTACCTCCTCTCGGTCCATAGTCCCAATTCGGCACCTACATTCAAGCGTACAACAACTCATCCTCGGCAGCACACCTCCAGTAGTTGTGTTCACTCCCCGCCGCATACCCTAGAACTGGCAACAAGTTGGAGCCCACCATGAATCGCAGCTGGTAAGCATATAACCTCCCTCCGTTCGTCTTATCTTCCAATGCCTAAATGGCCACCACCGCTGGGAAATCAAGGACTCGCTGGATAAATTAGATGATTTTGAGACCAATCGCTGAAGCAAACTCCAAGTGATCCACCGGCCTGTTCAGATCCTTCTTTGCAAAAAAAGAAAAAAAAAATTAAATCAATGCAGCTTCAATCTCAAACCCAATGCATCTCACTAGTAATAATATAACTCTTACTCATTTCTTCCCACAGCATTTCCATCCGATACTTGGCCCTAAAAGTCTAAAACCATCCAAGAATCAAGGTATGTCGGCTATCCCCATCTCCCTTTGCTTCTTCATTTTTTTGTTGATTTCTTTATACATGAATTCATCAGAGTTATGATAATCATAATAATCAAAAAACCGAAATCTAAGAGGATATTTCTTGAACTCATCCATCAAATCCTGCCTATCAAAATCTCCCTGCCAATCTGACTTGGGAACGACAAACCTTTTAGGATGCGTATCCATAAAATGATTAGTGGGATGGTCCCTCAGGCTTAGTGGGAGAGGTTAATCGTAGAGAGCCAGTTGCACTCAGACTTTGGTATACGGTACACAACTACGTAGTAAGGGAGAGATGCATAGGGATATTTCCTCTCCAACGAAGCATCTCTCCCTTACTACGTAGTTGTGTACCGTATCCTAAAGTCCGAGTGCAACTGGCTCTCTACGATTTTCCTCTCCACTAAGCCTGAGGGACCATCCCACTAACCATTTTATGGATACGCATCCTAGGAGGTTTGTCGTTCCCAAGTCAGATTGGCAAGGAGATTTTGATAGGCAGGATTTGATGGATGAGTTCAAGAAATATCCTCCTAGATTTCGGTTTTTTTGAAATTATGATTATCGTAACTCTGATGAATTTATTTATAAAGAAATCAACAACAAAATGAAAAAGCAAAGGGAGATTGTGATAGCCGACAAACCCCGATTCTTAGATGGTTTTAGGGCCAAGTATCGGATGAAAATGCTGTTAGAAGAGATGAGTAAGCGTTATATTATTACTAGTGAGATGCATTGATTTAATTGTTTGGGATTGGAGCTGCATTGATTTAATTGTTTTTTTTCTTTCTTTTGCAGAGAAGGATCTGAATAGGCTGATGGATCACTTGGGGTTTGCTTCAGCGGCTGGTCTCAAAATCATCCAATCTATTCAGCGAGTCCTTGATTTCCCAGCGGCGGTGGCCATTTAGGCATTGGAAGATAAGACGGATGGAGAGAGGTATGCTTACCAGCTGCGATTCATGATGGGCTCTAACTTGTTGCCGGTTCTAGGGTATGAGGCGGAGAGTGAACACAACTACTAGAGGTGTGTTGCCGAGGATGAGTTGTTGTACGCTTGAATGTAGGTGCCGAATTGGAACTAGGGACCGAGAGGAGGTAAAGTAGGAAGGAATTCTGATGGTTTAGTTTGAGGAATTGCATGTTGCAGCTAGCATTTGGACTTCAGTCCATTATTAATTATATGCCTTTTTGACTTGCATTAATGGAATCCCTGCACTTTCCACTTTGTTGTTGATGTTTTTTTTGTTTTATGAAACAAGTGTTTTTTATTTTGATTTTGAAAGAGAAGAGAGTGGTGGAGTAAGACATCATATACTGTCATTGCTCATGGTTCAACCTTCAACCTCTTCTTGTATATAACACAATCTCATTTTCATTCCCAACCAAATATGAAACCAATAGAAAACCCGGCAGCTGCCAGGTTAGTTATATGCTACGGAGTGGAAACTTTGTTTTATACTCGGTAGTAAAAAAGATTTTCTTGAGGTGAAAATTAGAAGAATAAGTAAATTTAGACCTCTTTCTTCCCTCAACTTCCTATGTGATCTCATACTGTTATGCCATTACTCAGTGTTAGGCTCACAATATACTCTCGGACTCTATCTAGGTTCACTTGATTATAAAAAATGTGGTTGAAAAGATACAAGTTTGAGAAAGATGTATTGAAGAGCATATCACATGTTCAATGAGGTGGGTGGGTAGGGGCATGGTTAGGGGGATGGGTCTAGGAGGGATTTAAGACTTGTTTGGTTGGTTGGAGAGGAGGCCGGAGAAGGGAGGGAAAATGAATTCCTGCCCTTGTTTGGTCTATTTTTTAGAAGGGAGCCATAATTTTCCATCCAACCAAACTTGCTTTTCACCTTCTTCAAAATTGCTTTCCACCCTTTCAGAAAATCTCGATTACCAAATGCTTTCACAAGTCTAGCTAATTGGGGATTACAATTGTTGTGTGTTCATGGATGGAGAGATATTCACCTTCTTCAAAGTCATGGAAGCCGACCTGGATAATTCGACCCATCTCTCCCTTACTACGTAGTTGTGTACCGTATCCCAAAGTCCGAGTGCAAAATTCACGAGGATCAACTGGCTTTGTACGATTATCCTCTCCCACTAAGCCTGAGGGACCATCCCACTAACCGTTTTATGGATACGCATCCATAAAATATCTAAAGAGAGATGTGGAGATCAACTGTCAAGTAGTGCTAATGTTATGCCAAAATATAACTTCAAGTGAGTAAGTATATTTTGGCATAACATTAGCACTACTTGACAGTTGATCTCCACATCTCTCTTTAGATATTGACCACTATGGGAGTAGGAGTTCGGTTTTTAAATGCACCGATTTGAATTGAATAATCGTGAAAAAATTTCGTATTCGCTAATTTAATGTTATTTTCGTATTCAGATTTGATTTCGCTTCAAATCTTTTTAAAGATTCGTATTGGATTCATTTAACATAGAAGACACTCCACCTTTTCAATTTTTTTTGAAGTATCTTTTTTTTAATTTTGAAGATGAGTGTGAAGCATAAAGACAATTGTGGATTTGCATTTGCTTCATTGAAATTACATTAATTTTATACATTAGTGCCTTATTAACGCAGTTTTTTTTCCAGATGCATTCTAATTCATTTTGTTAATGCCTTACACTATTGTGTTTCTTTTGTTGGGGAAGCCCAGACGAAACCCAACGGAAGCGAATAAAATCTTTTATTTAAATAAATGAGATGAACAACAAAGCAAAATATACTGTAAAAATCAGCAGCAGCACCACATATAAATAGCAACGGGAATAAATTTTTTTGCATCTAAAATTGTTATTATCTCTCCGCTATTCTTCTTGTATGTCAAAACTTATCAATAATGGAATTCTAAAGACAACTCAAAGGAAGACATTATTCAAAATTTTAAAAGATAATTGAAAAATAAAATTAGTTAACAACATAGTCTTCCATTTCAACTTCATTATCACCAAAACTTTCTTCATTTTCCTCATTAGCATCATTTTGTGGTTTATCGGCCCACATAGCTTCAGCAATGCCATGTCTCCAAGCGTTAGCTTCTGTTCTTTGTTGTTGTTGAGTTTGAGAAAGTATTTCAGAATTTTCTTCCTCCATGTCAAGATACGATGAAGAAGATGACTCAAGTTCTGGTTCAAGAGGAAATTCATGAGAACGAAACTCTTTACGAAGAAAGTTGTGTAGTCCTGCACAAGCTAACACTAGCTCTGCTTGCGTTTGAAATGGAAAGGAGGTCCAGTTTTGAAAATGGTGAAATGTGATTTAAAGATACCAAATATTCTCTCAATAACATTTTTGAACGATGCATGACGCAGGTTGAACAATTCATTTGCATTTCGGGGTGACGGCCTTGACCTCTAAAGTCTTTGAGATGATACCAAACACCTCGTAATGGTGCTAAAAATTGTCATGGATTCGCGAATCCAAAGTCTTTGAAGTTTGACCTTTTGTTTTAGATTTTTTCATGAATTTTGAAGTGTTATGAACTTATGAATTTAACAATTGCCCTCATGAATTGTTATTGTTATGAATTTCGGGATTGATGGTGTGTACCGTGTATCATCCCAGGCAATTACTTCTCTGTAATCGGATGAAAGGGTCGCACATTCCACGGTTTCACCGGCTATAAGAGTAAATGCTTGAATTGGCTATGGAGTTTCATTCTTCACCTGCTATAGGAGTAAATGGTTGGGTGATTCATGGGGTACGTTACTACGAAATTTGTTTCATTTCCGGATTCCCCAAAAAAACAGGTAATTGATTTGCATTAATTTTGAATTTTTTTACACGATTTGGTTGTTTTCCGGGCTGTACATGAAAGACCTCTGACTTCCCCTTCATTTTTCCAGTTCAAAATTTTGGAATATACTCGTAATTATTAATAATTTAAACATACGTTACATTTTTGTCAATCAAGCAGGTATTTATAATCTTCTTTTTAAGATGGAATGAATCACAGTCTTGTGCTCTGCTTTCAGGTTTGTGAATTGTTTCTGGTTTTTTTTTTTAAAAAAATTTTACACTCATTGGTAGAGTGTAATTACCCGGCCACTTTCTTTTCATTATTTGAAGTGAATAATCTATTTTTTTAAATTCCAGGTTCACTTTCATTTGCTCTAATTTCCAATATCATTGTTAAGGTAAGTACTATTTCTTCACAGAAAAATTCTTCACAGAAATCACTGTTAAGGTAACTATCATTTGTTTATACTAATATGTTTCTTAAAGCAAGTGTATAGCGTTTCGTTAAAGTCATGGGTGAAATTTGTTATTATTACCTATCAGTTGAAAACTATTTTAGTATTATATTTTAAAACTTATTTTAGAATTTAAATTAATAACCATTCACAGAATACTATCTGCATATAGATTTTCTGCAAATAAAATGTATTTGCTACTTTGCAAGTATTTTAAGTGATTATGAAGTTGGGGGGTTTTGTATTCACTTAATCTGCATTGCATTGAACTTTTTCTTAGTAGGGTGTCTGTTTAGATTTTCTGCTTGGCAGTAGTTAAGGTATTTGTGTGGTGACCTAATGGTGGTTTCAGGTGAGGAAGAATGACTGGCGCAGACTTGGTGGTGATTCAACCTCCTGATCTCAAGTTCACATGTAAGTTCAATCAATGATGTCTTCTGATCATGATAAGAAAACCTCGTGGAGCTGTTTCTGTATAACTATTAATATCTTGGTGTCTTTGCTGTCTATTTTGTCTGGTTTGGTAATATTTTTTACCTTCTTAAGTTGTTCTGCCTTGGTTAGTTAATTTTATATCTTCACATATATAAGCTCGCATTGAATGAATTTGTGTCTTCCATTTGAATTGTTTTGAATCTTCTAACAGTTTTTCTTCTGTTCCAGTCGACTTGCTGAAACAAAGTTCATGTTCTGTTAACTTGACCATCACAGATCAATATGTAGCATTTAAGGTGAACCTATTTTCATCTTCCCCCCAAATGCTGTGAAATCTACATCAGTACATGCCATGTCCTACTTTTGTCCTAGAAAAAGAGTCCTCTTTGAACTAAGGAAGTACACCAAAGTTACCCAAATGAACAAATAAATTGAAAATTAAACATATATGGACTAATTGATGTGTACCTTACCAGAATTTAGTTGTACATTGGTGAGACATAGCTCCTATTTTGGGATGAATGTAGTATTTGTTCCATTTGACATCAAGGAGGCTATCTTCTTGCTCAATACACCCTATAATTTTATGTGTGTGCAGGACTAGAGATTTCTCTTTGTGGGAACCTTCTTCATCCTAGAATGGGGTCTGGTTTGGCTGCAGAAGTATTTGATGCAAATCGCACATCTGAAATGGAATTTAAAAACTCTGCAAAATCAATTATTAAAAATGAAATTTGGTTGTGAGGGTCCATGGGAAGTACTTGTCATGGGAGAAAGCTGTTACGTTTGTACTGGGGATGTCTGCTTATGACATGGAACTGCCTATTGAATGTACGGATGTAATTGCTATTGAGCAGGAGGAAGCTCTAAAACCCGAGGTAGTAGATGGTTATGGAATTGAGAGATCTCCTTCGGGAAGACGATGGAGGCTTTGGCCAATTCCCTTCAGAAGGGTTAAGACACTTGAACATACTAGTAGCAATGTGTCAACTGAGGATGTTTTTGTTGATACCGAAAGTAGCTTGCAAAACCAGGCTGCAAAACCAAGTCCTTGTAAACAATTTCTGAGAAGAAATGTTCCAACGTCTGATCAGATTGCTTCTTTAAATCTAAAAGAGGGGCAGAATACGGTGTTCTTCATTTTCTCTACAAGGGTCCTAGGGGTGCAAAAGGTATTTCATCTATCACGTTCTTGACATTTATACACTTTGTGTTGCTGTATTTTTAGCGTGCTTATTTGAATTTCTGAAATATGTTGAAGCTCATATATACCTGTGGAAATGGAATGCACGAATTGTAATTTCTGATGTTGATGGTACTATTACCAAGTAAGACTTCTTAGGTTACCTTTGTTTACGTTTTGACATTGTATAAAAAAAGTGGTTGTCCAATTGAGGGAGTTTTGAGGGGAGGAGAGAACTCACACTTGTATTATAAATTTATCTATATTTATAAGTTTTAGACTAGAAGTTAAGAATATGTGTAGTTATTTAGTAATTTTAGTTATATACTACCTTAGGTAGGAATTAGTTGTTAACATTTGTCTGGAAGTAGCTGTTCATTTTCAATGGGAGTGCTATGCAATATGATTTTCCCTTTGAAATTGAAGGATCTATGGTTGGTCAAATAGATTCCACCCTTCCTCTTCACTCTCCTTGAAAATCATCCCACCAAACAAGGGATAAGACAACTTAGAAGTAATGATATGGCTCACAAGTAAGAACTAAATCATGCAGGTCTGATGTTCTTGGTCAGAATGAGTCCAACCCTTCCCGATCCAAAGGGATGAAATATGCTTCTTAGAAATATTGGTCAACCTATGGCATTGTACAATGATACGAGATTAATAGTGACGAAATTGGGGAAACGTTTAATTCAAGGAAAAGTTATGGGAGGAAAAAATATTGGCCATGAAGTTGTTATCTCAAGACTTTCATTGACTCCATCGCATAAAAAGATTCCTTTCAAGTTTCAAAGGAAGCAATTTCGTGTCATGACTTCTTATGTAATGACCATTAACAAAAGTCAAGGTCAATTTTTATCGCATGTTGGGCTACTACTTAAAAAACCAGTCTTTAATCATGGTCAACTACATGTTGCTATCTCTTGTGTGACAAATCATGAAGGATTGAAGATCTTATGTTGCAATGAAGAAAATAATGCTTTAGACTACACTTCAAATGTTATATATAAAGAAATCTTTTAGAATTTATAATGCATTCTTATATGTATAATTTATTTATGTATAATGCAATCACAAATAATTTAAAACTCTATAAAGTGTATTGTTATTCAAAAGGACAATTTTTTTTATTATATTTACTCATTTTAATTTATTTATTCTTTTCAAGCATAAGGTTATTTATTGTTCATTCTGAGCGTGCATCACACAAATGAAGTCTAGTATAGTCTAATGATTCATTTTTTACTTGTTAATGTTTAATAACTTTTATCCATCTCATTTAAAAATTTACGGTAAAGTTTAAGAGTGCTTCAATTTTTTAAATACTTCAAAAATTTTGTATCTCCTTTACTATTAAACTGTTAATCAACAACATGGTTATTGGTTTTTTTTCTTCTATATAAAGATAACCTTATAAACTTTACAATGTACTTATTTTTTAGAAAAAATACAAAGTATGTACTTGATATTATTTCACATTTTTCTAAAATTCTAACGATATATCAAAATAAACTTATAAACTTTACAATTTACTTATTTTTTTTTTGAAAAAAATACGAAGTATGTAATTGATATAATTTCTCATTTTTTCTAAATAAATTCTAGCAATACATCTTTCACTTTTTTAATGCTTCATTCACATCATTTAAAAATTACGAAGTAACAGTTAAGTTTACGATGTTTGACTTATGGTATTTTATATGAAAATTGGTGAAAAATTTATATCAAGTATTTAAAAGCTACTCTCTCCGTCCCAATTTAAATCATTGTTTTAGTTTACGAACTGGAGTTATTTTTAAATCATTTTATATAAAAAATGGTGTAGAATTAAAAAAATAAAAATTACATATTTAAAAACTACATCAAAAGATTTATAAAACTAGTGGTAACAAGACTATGTTCTTTTATCAAATAAACAACGAAAGTAAAAAAAGAAAGTGAATAAAAATATGTAAATAAACAATTTAAGTTAGGACAAAGAGAGTATATTAAAGATCTATAAAGAAAAATGTGACATAATTTTGTTATTTTCCTCAAATGATAAATAAACATATGTAAAGAAAGAAAAATTGATTTCACGGTGTGAATAATAATTGTAAAGAATCAAAGCAAGTGATATTGTTGAACTTTATAAAATTAAGCACAAAAGAAATTAAGACATGGTTGTTTTGGGGAGGACCCATTGGTGTTCTGCTCTGGACAAAAGACCTATTTTCTCATTTACCATTCAAGGACAACAATGAAGATAGCAAACAATAGCAGATACTATTTTGTTACTTTGCCCTGTTTATTTTTGTCGAGCATCGTTGATTTTTTTTCCATCTTTGCTCATCGACATTGATGCAATTGAGGTATGTCTATTTTCTTCTATATTAATTTTATTTCTAATTGAACTGTATATTTGAGCTATTTATTCATTGTATTCATTTATTGGATAATTATCATATTCCTAAGTTATATACACAACATTTAGTTTTAAGCATGTTTTATGTTTTTGTTATGATTTGGATTATATGTGTTGCCAATCATGCTTCACTTTCAACACATATGATCCAAACCATAATAAAAACATAAAACATGCTTAAAATTAAATATTTTGTATTTGTAAATTTAGGATATGATATTATACGATGAATGGATAACTCAAATATAGAGATCAATCAGAAATAAAATTGGGTAGAAGAAAAGAGACATACCTCAATTACACCAATCTCGATGACCAAAGGTGAAAAAAATCAACGATGTTTGACAAAAATAAACCGAGAAAAGTAACAAAATAGTATCTGTTATTGTTTCGCTATCTTCATTGTTGTTCTGGGATGGTAAGTGGGAAAATATATCCCTCATCGAGAGTACAACGCCTAATGGTTCTCCAAAGCCACAATAACTTGAATTTCCATTTGCACGTATTCGTAAATAATCTCCGATGGAGCCAAAATTTCACCATTTTTTGGCTTTGGGGTGTGATGGAATAAATCAAAATGGATTTCTAAACTGTCTGCGCTATTTTAATTAATGAAGTAGCAGTTAGTCAAGCAATGCAACTTTCGACGTTGAGTCGGGGGTCTCTTTGGAATCAGCCTCTCTACTTTCGAGTAGGGGTAAGGTTTGTGTATACACACCCTCCCCAGACCCTACTCTTGTGGGATTTAACTTGGTTGTTGTATTGAACATGTCCATCAACAATTCTACTAGGAAAAGTAAAACTGACAAGTTCCCATACCCCACGAAAAAAACCCCAACATCTCCCCTAGCCATTTTAATAGTCTTTTCCCCAAGTCTTCATCGTCTCTCGTAGCGATTCAAGTATTATCTACAAAAACATCGAAATATCCACTAACCATTCTTTTAGGTATTACATTAAGATTACCATATCACTTTTTTCTAATAGGAATCCATGAACTTTGATCATAAACTTTCATCTATCCACCACAAATTCTACTATATTAGCAAAGACTGCACGTGAAAATGTTTTTCCAAATTCTGCATATAAAGGCACTATTATTGATCACATTACAAGTCTTATTCAAGTAGTTAATCCAATTGGCATGAACATACAACATATTTTAGAACTTCGTTCTTAAATTATAATGATCTTGATTTGGCATTCCATAAATTGCATTTTTCTGGATATCACAAAACATATCGAATTTAGCAGGAGACCACAATACCAGATGATTCAACACGTATTCAAAATTACAAATCCAGAATTCAAGGTTGCTCATCACTTGATATAAGTGAAAAACATGGGAGGAGTATCTTTGCGATTTTCCTTTTCACCGAGCAAAACTGTTATCAGACCTATTAATTGTTGAATTTCACATTCGAGTTCAACCTGGAACTTAGATAAGCAATAAAAGCAATCTCAATGACACTCTCTCAAGTTATGTCCACCTTAACTTCATCATTGAAATAGATATTGGCCCCGTTTGGCATCAGCGTTAGAGATTAGCGTTAGCGTTTTCAAAAAGCTATCTGACGGTAGCCTTTAGCGTTAGTGTTTTTAGATTTAATCTACCCCATTAAAATTTTATCCAAAACGCTAGCGCTAATCGAAAACGCTGTTACCAAACGAAGCCATTGTCCTTTGCATTCTCCATCTCTAGACTTGGGGTAACTCGAAACCGCCTAATGTTGTTATTCGTCCACAACATCAAGTGACATATCAATTTCAACCCAACCTCTTTCAAAGACCAAATAGCAAACCCATTGAGTTGTTTCACCTAAAGAAAGTAAGACAGATGAACTGCACCCAACCTATTCATGTCTTGTAAATGAATAGAAAAGACAATTATTACAATATTAAGAAAAATTAATAGTTTTGAATTTTGAAATAACAAGGAGAGAGACTCACATCGACCACCAATTTTAATGTTGTGGATGACAACTTAAATTGCGAATTAATTAATCTCTTCTGACAAATCTGAAGTTTCCAAATGTACTAATTTTTTGTAATAATCATGTTATTGACTAGAGGGTAGTGGTTTAGTTACTAAATTGCTCCAATTCAAATTTGTATATAGAGCAAGATCAAGGATTTTCTCTCTAAGGTAACGATCTTGAAGAACATTTTTATAATTAAGTGAGATCTCAATGATAATTCTAACATAGCACAAGAGAACAGAATATCGAAAACCAAACATACAATGCATACAACAAAGAATGAAGCAACTTCCACCTAGAGATGATAATTCAACCCGAATCTGATTGAACACTAAAAATTTTGAACCCAAACCGAGAATAAAATAATCCAAAACCCAATTGAAAATTTTTTACTCGAACCCGACATCGAGTCGGATCGGGTGTGGTTTTATAATTTTACCCAACCCGAACCCGAATATTTTAAAACTTAATACCTTTTCTATGGGTACAATGTGTATTCTGTATATTCTCTTCTTTTCAATTCTCCACGCACGCGCATCTCTCTCTTGGTTCTTACATCACATCTCTGTGTGTTTTCCGTTCTCCTTGTACAGTTCTTACTTCCTTCCATTTTTTCCTTTAACACATCATCGGTTTATCTACTATTTTGTTTGCATTTTTAGCCATGCAATTAGGGGTAGGCACGGGTCGGGAGGGTTTGAGTTTTATGCTTTTTTGCATTTTGTCCTGTTTTTTTCTAACTGTTTGGGCCACAAGCTTATCTCTTTTTTTCCCTTAATATTCGGGATCGGGATAAAACAGAACGGGTTTGAGTTGTCTTACTTTGTCAATATCTGAAATTAGATATAAAAATATAAACTACCCAAGGGGAGACAACCAACTTTGACTTACAAAGTAATAAAAAAATGATATATTTTTTTAGAATGTTTTTAAAAAGCATGAACAATAAGTAATTGTGAAAAAATGTTACAACATACGTCAAAAGTTAAGACTATAAGCCTCATGAAAACTTTGAGCCACAAATTAAGGTGGGTTGGGGCGGTCTGGATTTTTAGGTGTTTTGTTCATAGTCTATTTTTCAAATATTCGAATATGATATTTTTTATATCTATTTTGGGGAAAACAAAAATTATGATATTTTTTGTGGTATATCATTATGTAAATAAATAAATACATATATACATCTAAACCGGACAACGGGATAAAGTGGGAAAATATTTATGTATCTCGGTTTTGTCCGATTTTAAAACAGTTCAGAATGGGTGTGGGACAAAATTCAATCATGCCTAACAAAACGGAACATAATAGGGACGAGACAGGGAGGTCGCGAGAATGGTTTTGGGATTCTTGCCCACCCCTACATGCAATCGTCCGGACATGGTGCTACAAAAGAATCTGTATTTGTACCTCAATAAAATTGAGAAATTAGGCCAAAGTTCCTAAGGCACTGTGACGTTCTTTTGACCAATCTTTTAAATAGACTGAAAATTGAGAAATTAGGCCAAAGTTCCCCTTTTTTTTGAAAAAATATGTGGCAAACTAACATGGTTTTACGTGTCTATAACTGTGCACAAGACAAGTCTCTTGTGCTTGAAATGTTATCACATAATTTTACGTGAAAAAAATAATCATGCCAAATTTTGTCAATTTTCTGGTTAAAATTTGGCTAAAAGCGTGATGATATACCCCTAGAAACTTGAAGTCAAAATTTTAAAAAAGAGTATTGCATTGTATTGACAAATCTTTTGTGCCTAAAAGTTTACCATGTTATATATATATATATATATATATATATATATATATATATATATATATATATATATATATA